GTTGTGTTGTGGGGGGGGGGGGGGGGGGGGGCAGGAGAACAGATTTTTCCTTCATAACACATTAGCCTATTGCACAAAACCTGCATATACAGTCAAATGGCTGCCTAGAATTGTACTGGCTGTAGCCTGCAAAGTAAAGTAATGATCTACTATTGTCACTGCAGCCTCTAAAAAAAATCTTCCATGGATTCTAATGGTGCTATTAGTCCAATGAAGACCACGGCGAAGGTCATACAATTGATATAAAAAGAAACCTGAAAACTTACCTGGATGAAGTAATAGAGGGATTTTCCATATTTCCTCTTGAATTCACTCTTAATTTTCAGCATGTCAACCTCACAGCGGGAGACCATAATCCTGATCAGAACCTTGTCCCGGGTTCCCTTGCCCTACAAGCAGATTCACACTTAAGATCTATAACAGCTGAAATGCATAAAAAGGCCACTGCATCTGATGGAAAGACAGTGAACTACAGGCAACTCAGCTGCTGTAATAAAGGGTAGGTACAATGAATTAAGCCTTTTAACTAAGGCCATTGTTGTGATCTAGGAGTTTGAGCACAAACATCTCTCTCTCATCATGAAAATCTGATCAACTTCTAGTCACAAATCTAGCTCCCTTAGACTGTAAAAGCAGCAGTCCTGATTTACGAGGAGGTCTTCCTGGTATTCCTTAATTCCTGTCCCCAGTGGTTCCTCTTTCAACCCCTTCTTCAAGAAAATGTTTTCTGGCAAATTTACTGTCTTATTTTGGCTCTTCAACAAACAGATTTTCTGCTATCAGCTCTTGGTTACTTGCAAAGAGATGTGTCTGACTTTGCTAATTATAATCAACTGATCTAATAAAGATCATTACTGTAAGCCCTTTCCCTATAAACCTGCACTAACTATACCTTTAGACAGTCAGGGCTAGCCATTATTACTACTTTAAAAGGGAATATTTAAAATTATCCCTTAATAAATACGAAACCTGAACAACTAACAGGAAGGCAATCTAACACCTCCAGTTCTGAAAGTCCTATGTTAACATTAGCTTAAAATGGCCTATCATAAACTATGTTGGTGTAATTGGAAAGTTTCATGCATCCTTTACCAGATAACATAATTTTTATAGCTTTCTTGTAACAAAAAAAAAAAAAAAGACATGCACTTCTTTCAATCATTCTTGTTTCATCCTCTGATCTTACTTCTTATTCACATCCTGTTTTTTGGTAGCACCACAAAATCAGAATCTAAAGGTGTGCTACAGTAGGACAACAGTACATCAAGAATGTTTTTTGTCTGTGCTTCCATAGTCCTTCAGGCTGCAGGTTTGAGTTTTTCCTGCTATTTAGCCCACATTCTTCTGCAACTTTTCATTTTTCTGTTAAGTTTTTCATTTGAAATCTACATTATGTACCTCATCTTCTGACACATTTCAACCTCCAAGGTCAAACACCTTTCACTTAAATATGAACTACACTGACTTGTAAACTTACATGTAAAATCTAAGCTTGACATTCAGGAGCCATCCACCCACTCGTAATCCCAGACTATACAACAATGATGGAATCAACCTCTTTCTCACCATTGTTAACTATAATTTAACCCCAAACCCCCAAAATAGGTTTCCTCTGAATAAAGCAGACACTAATGATTCAGCAAGGGGTATGATCCAAAAGAAAACCTGAGAGGACGGTGTGGAAAAACTGACTTATTTTCAGAGTTAGAGCAGTAATGTTCATCATTCAGTTTTATTTTCAGAGTTAGAGCAGTAATGTTCATCAAAGTATGGAAATAAAATCTGCATGAAATGCAGTATGAAATAAAAATCTACAGAGAAATCTTGCCCTTACAGTTCTGCTTTACTTCTGTACATACCCCAATTATTCTAGCAGCGATCAACTACCTTGCTATGTCTGTATTTTGCGCTTATCAGACAACACCGGATGTACTAGAATAGATTGTTTATACCTGTAACTTTTAAAGAATGCTTTTGAAGCCGTTGTTAATTTCTTCCCATGTTAGTTAAACATTTTATGAATAAAAGTGTCTAAAGAACAAAAATTTGATGAAAACATGGAGGAAAAAAAAATAGTAGAAGAACGAACAGCCTTCCCTACCTTCATAGAATCGTACAGCCTGTCTGCAAAATACAGCTGCTTGTTCTGAATGCACTGGACTGCAGAGACAGAGAGATATGAACAGTTAAACATCCTGCCCACACTTGAATTAACAGAACACAGAATCCTGGAGCCTTTTTAAAGACGTCATTGATAGTCAGAATCAGGCTTCCACCAAAAGTTTATCCAAAAGGGAACACAGAGAAATGATTTTTACCTGATGCATTTGTTACTTACAAGTTGTTTGGAGAAGCTTGTGATGTACCACAAATGCTTACAATCTGTATTTCCCTCACAGCTAGTATCATTTCAGAATGCTAGCCCTCCTCCACACAGACCAAAATTCATTCTTATGTCCATCTTTCACATATAAACAACCTTTTTTTTCTTGAAACATTCATTGTATGCTGATCCCTGAGAAGTCCCCCTTCAAGGCTGAGCTTTTGTTCTCCACTTGCCTTAAGCACCTCTCTGTTCTCCCTTAGTCTGAAAAGGATTTTCCTCTTATAGAATTTCCTCCGAAACCCAGGACATCCTAATCATCTTCAACTCCTGCCACAGTAGCAGTCTCATATATACCTATTTCAGATAATTCAGTGCCAAATCAGCTATTTTTATTAGCCTCCAGCATCTTCCACAGCCTGTTTTCTCCTCTCACACACACTCTTCTCTCTCCAGCCTACGTCCGTATTTAATACTTAAATGTGCCTGATTAGAGATCCAACCTGGTTTTGTTTGTTTGCTTTTAATAAAAGCTAACAGGAATCAAAGATAAAACAGACAGACAAAAGTGGAACTAACAACAGATAACAAACCCCGTGTACATCCCCCTTGGAAAGTCAGCAATGCAGGAGAAGCTGCATTCTCATCACAGTACACTGCCAAAGCACCGAAAAGATACTCTTTACCTCAGAGTAACTCACCAAGATTAAGGAAGGCATTCTCCAGGTCTCCCTTAACTTCCTTCTTGATGCTCTCCAACATATCATATGGGCTGTAGCTCTTGTACCTATCAAACACTATCATAAGAAAGAAAAGAAGTGAAAACAAAATCAAAGCAAGAACCAGTAAAAGTAACCACCTGAGCCAAAAATGCAGAGTGCAGTGCGGATGCATGTAATGAAAAAGTATCTGTCCAAGTTTTTCTGAGAACTTTTATCTTCAGTACAACCTAAGCTTCTCAGCCAATGGGAAAGTTCTGATGCTATGGCCTTTTTCTCAAACACCTCAAACATCCAGTAAAATACTACCCTGTCATTAACATTTTTTAAAACAACTAGGTTGTTAAAGCTAAACAAATTTAGCTCCTTAAAAGAAAATTCTCCAAAATGGCTTTCCCATGTGCTTGTTACAGCACTACCGGAGCCGCTCTTGAGAGGCTTCAATATCCAATTTAAACACATGACATAGCTGACCTACTCTAACACAGAGGGAAAAGCTAAAGGACCTCTCAAAGCCTCCTGCAGCCCAGTTTTCTAGATTTGTAACATTTTTAGTCTCAGTGTAGGTGAAATACCATTGAGTGATTGTTGCACCTGTGTAGGAGAGAGCCGCATGCACATTCAAGTAGTGAGATTAACACATCCACAGAAGTAAGGGCATTAAAAAAAAAAAACACATGCACACAACAACAGCTTGGTTATGAATTAAGATTTCCATGTTTTATAGCTTTTCACACTCACTTCAATCACATCTGAGATGAAATAGTTACCATTTGGGTCTATTTTCCTTCTGTAAGGAAAGAAAAAAAGAATCTGTCTCTTGAATAATACCTTTTTGGAGGTGGGGAACACTTCTTTCAGTCATAATGTTGATCCACTTGGGCACATCAGTTCCCTTTCTCTTCACACCAGCATCGTAGAGTTCCTAGGGTTAGAATGATAAGCAAAATCATGGGTTACACAAGAAGCCATCTCAAACGTACACAATTTATTTACTGGAAACCAAGCACTACTGTAACTGTGTCAATGGGAGAAATACAAAAGGACACATTGCTAGCCAGACCACCAAGGATCTATGGATCTAATCTGAAACTAAGCCAGGTTTTACCCTGTATTTACTTTTATTTACAGGTTTTACTCTCTAGTTAGCTCCATTTACCTCAGCAGAGTTGCTCTTGACAAGTACAGATGTAATAAACAAGGGAATCGGCCAGTAAGTTCAGTGATACCTAACTCTTAATCTTTTGGAATTACTTGGCTGCCGCCATCAGCCTTCACAATGCGTCAGTGCTTCCTTTTGTTAAAGCATCTCTTTTTCAATATGCCTAAAGAAAATACCAGAGAGCTACTGTGTAAGTGCTAGCGGGTACGTAGCCCATGAAAATAGATAACTGAAGATGTCAGGATTACAAGTGGTAGATACCTTGACAGCATTCAAACATTGCTATGCAGGACAATTTGAAATACACATAACTGCTTTTATAAGTGCTTTTCACATGCACGTTTTTACTCTAACTGAATAGCCCCCAAAATTCAGTCAACTTAAGAACATTTAATGGTCATTACTAGCGCTTACCCTAGCATCTTGGTCAATCAGCTCATAATCAATCACAGACGTATCTTCACACCTTTTGCCCTTCAAACAAGGATAGCAGTGTTTAGAAGAGGTTTAACAGATTGCAAGCAATTTGCTATACACATTTTTTTCTTTAGTTTTTTTAATCAGTATTTGCTATATGAATAATCACTACAGTATGTTTCATCCCCATTATTAAGCTGCTGCTATGAATGCTGCACCCTTGTCAAGATACTTTGCTCTTTGACATTTGAATTTTTTTTTTTTTCAAAAGACAGAAGAAGTGCAAAGAAATTCAAAGCTGAGTCAGAAATCCAATTGTTTTATTAAAAGGTATCAGTCAACTACCAAAGGGCAGGCACATTAGGAAAAGCAGAAAAATATGGATAGATATACCTTGGCCAAGGCAACCATTAGCTTGCGAAAGTCACCAGATGTGTCTGATATAATGTCCTTTTCCAGTTCTGTCTTGTACACTAGAAAACAGAAAATTCTTTTCCATGTAATGACATTCTACAAATTCTCATTTACAAGGACAACAGCTAATCACTGTTTTATGCACAAAACCAGCTAACATCTAGAGTCATCTGCGGAAGAGAATTAAAAACACCCTTGCATACAACAACAAAAACATTCCTGCCAGCTGGTCACGATAATGCTAGTCAAACTTCCCATGCAGTCAAAAGCCTGTCTGCCAAATATGGAAAGACAGTAAGAAAGCCTGAGGACATTAAAAGGAAGAGAATATTGTTTTAAGCTGACTATCCTATCAGTTCATTCTTTGCTACCAATGACTGTTTGCTTGTTTCCCAAACATAGGATTTAGGCCTTTACCACTCACGGATTTATGACTGGACAACTGCAATTGCAAGTTTAATGCAGAAGACAATAGCTGTTTTGATTAAACGTAAGAATGCTGCGTGCAATCCTGGTGTGGCATCTCAACATTTTCATTGTTTCCGAAGTGGCCATACTCTACGCTGCTACAAAATTGCGTACTCTATCAAAGTTCAACAGCAACCTAGCCTATAGCAGCAGCATTTTACCATTTTTTTCATACATTATTTTGTTCTGTATATGCTATTAAGACTACATTGGTTCTCCTTGTCCTTTATGATTTAGCCAGTACCCTAAAAGAACTGCTTGACAGCTATTAAACATTAGCATACAGCAATCTTCTCCATGTAAGTCTGTATCTGGTGAAGCTAAAAGTTCAGGGGAACAGGCACTGGACAGCTGTACCATTGATTGAGATGAATCTTCAATCAGAAAGGCCGATACAAAAATAGCAGGAACAGGAATGTTAAAGGAAAAGGAGTATTTCTGGGGGTGAATCTTAGACTTCTTTTATATCTAGTTATGAATGATAGCTTAAATCAGATAACATGCTTTAGAAAAGTTGAAAAAGAGAATATATACTTTTATGGGGTTTTGCTTTTTGTCTTTTCTGGCAGGTCTATCAAAGAAGCTCATAAGAACGCTTCATTAGATTTCAGATTCAACTACTTATTACATAATTGATTCTGGAATCACTAAATCTAGTATAATTAATTCTGTCACTATACACAAAATACATGCAACACAGAAAAAAAAAAAACCCTACTTATACACAACTCAGATGACTAGCGAATGCTGTCCAATTTGTTTATTATCAAGTAGCAGATGAAACTCTATACATACATACTAATATCCAGGATGCCAATACAAAATAATTTCTTCTGCCCGACTACCAGAGAATGAAAGCAGATGTGGGGCAAGTGACTCTGCCAATCAAATTGATGCTGGGGGGAACTTATTCAAGTAATGCTGTGGACAAGCATAGTACATTGCAACTTTCAGTGTAAACTTACTTTCCCTGTAGACTCTGTTAATTTCATAAAGCTCCTGATTTGTTCGTGAGCAGATGATTTCAATGAGTGTGTCTTCATCCGTTCCCAGACCCTGCAACACATACACAATACAGTTAAGTGTTAGAAGTGAACAGGCATGCTTGAAGGATCTCAAAATATTTTACCAACATTTTGTTACCCTTTTTTCCTTCTCCCACTCTAACAGTTTCACAACCATTCAGGGATATTTTTGCCAACTGTAGACATGTTTCTAATGTGCCTGAGAAATCCCAGACGGAATGGTTTTAGTTGCCAAATACTATTCTATTAGCTTTGAGATACAGTAGATAATATCTGGGGGAAATATTAGTTTGCCATGACCGTTTGTAACACTTACATGACCACCCCACCAGCATAACTGGATGAGGTAAACATATTACTGTTAATGTGTGATTCTACTCCATCTTTCCATTGAGAGCACAGGACAAAAATCTCATTTTCAGCATGCAAATGCGCAGAGACCATCATGTTCTTCCCAGCTCTTCCTCCTCACCTCCCTCCACGCACCTCCCCACTATAAATGGAAGGCTGAGGATGACACAGCCATTAGCAATGGCCTTGTCTCCAGTGTCCTTGTGGCCAGATTCAACCATGTTCTGAGTTTCTAGCTCATAAATAGTGCCCCTTGAACTATGCATATTTTCCATGTACTTAATAATATCATTTCATCTGTATTTGTGTATTGTGATTAGCTATACTGATATTAAGGAATAAAAATATCTTTAGAGCGAGAGATTAAACATTCAGATTTAAAATGTACATTTTGATCAAGCTAGGTGAATTGAGAGGACTTATGTACTTCAAAACAGGTTTTGTGATCAATATCAAAATGTAATAATCAGATTTCTGCTTAACTTCCTGTAGAGCTAAAATAAACTTAACGAAGAATCTGTACTTTGAACCAAGCTGCATTTCTACTATTTAAATAATAATATAGGCATTAGCAATATTATAAAATTACAAACCACGTGAAAATGTTTCAGTTATCAATTAAACCTCAAAGCTGCTCCAAAACTAAACTCAGCTGCTCCAAAATAATGTGGCTTGAGCAATGTGCTCTAAACCTTGCTCAATTATTTTATATCGAAAACAATTTTTTAAATATTTGCTGACAACACTGCAATATTCTTGTCACATCTTAGATGTGGCAAACCACAAGGCCTTATACTAAATTCTTGACTGGGTCAGAGAAAGTATATTGCACTACAAGACCACAGTTATGTAGATTATTCTTCTTATACGTGAAAGAAAGCAAAGTGGATATTGCATTACTATTAGATTAAAAGAAATAAAATGACTCAATATGGCCTACTAACTTTACTGTATTAATATATGATCTTCCAGCTTGATCTAATTGGTATAAATCTGTAAAACACAAAATTAGGCTGGGCCTTGCAGAAGCCCACAACTAAGATAGAATTTCTTTCACACACCATACGCAGAGCATTAACAGAATGTGTTTCTTGCCATATATGATATATGCCTTATTCAACGTTAAAACGCCAGTACTTCCAGCATAAGGATTTGAGTGGTACAGTACTTTCCATTACTATCACACAAAATGAACATTTCCAGATAATCAAAACAGTTAAGTAATTGTAAACAATAGGTGTGACTAGACAAGGGAGTAGTAAGGTGACTTTAAAATGAGACACCTGGTTAGGTTAGCGGAATACCTCCCCCAAGCCAACTAGTCTCTATAGGCTTCTTTGGACAATCTCTCTAGGAACTCCAGATGGACAATTTTAGAATAGGAGACCAACCTCTCTCTCTAGTGACCACAAATGAGATCTAGGTGACTATTTGGTAAAGCCAGCTGGTAGTTAGATGCCTCAGTACTGTGGAAAAAACAAACAAACAACTTTTCTCTAAAGAGATCCCTGAGAGTTTGGGGTTGTTTCATTCTGTAGGTTGTTTGGTTTTTGTTTCCTTTTTTTTTTTAAACCTACCAGCCAATGAATGATATTCCGGTTACTCCCATTACCCTCATCTGCCAGGATCAACAGCAGACAGAAAGTACATTATTAGGACTACTATTAGGAGGCTGTTAAAACCCTTGGGACGAATGTTGTATGGCATCTGGCAAAAATGGGCATGGTTTGCACAGGACTCCAAGCGGAGTCTGCAGTCTAACATCTCAGGAAAAGGTCTTATGCTGTATTCTTTTACATGTGGGAAACGTAGGCAATTCTGTGAAAAACTACCCACTTGGAGAAAGTGTTTTACTGATGGAAGAAATGAGAGGACTAAAACCAAGCGATTTCATAAAATGACTCATAGCTACGAGAATTAGGAAAGCTCTCCACAGAACGGTTCTAATGGATAACTGGGGAAGAAATTAAGGCTAACAAGATTTAATCATCTCTAAATATTTTTGGAAGGACTTTGTAAGAATATATACCAGAAGAAATAATTATACACTTTCATGAGGAGTTTTCTTTTGCCAACTTTGATTCCCATGTCATAGCTTATTAAGCTCTCCATTAAGAAAAATAGCAAGTAAAACTTAAGTTCAAGCAAGAACAGCGATATTTTGTACGCAAACTCAGAATATTAGAATGAATGCTTGGGAGATGGAAATATCTGACCTGTAAAGAGTGCACAATACTCTGCATCTGTGACTACTATGCTCTAAGGCAATGGCTTGATCTTCTCGCTGTAAATACAGCACAACTGCTAGATAAGTATACGGTCATTCTAATAAAAAACACCACATAAAAAACTTTCAAATTTTAAAATTATCTGATTCGCAGCAAATCACAGATAGCCTCTACTTAAACCAGAAGAGGGCAGCATCTGATTGCTCCAAGAATGGATTTGGCCCACAATTAACAGAGCAATCATCTCCCCTTATTTGTTATTTGTATACTGGTATTATTTTTGTATATTTGTTTCATAGTCTGGAGATAGTAACTAATCAGTTCTTTGTCTTGGTCAGAGTTCTAGTACACATTTTAATACTTTTTTTTTTTAAATCATTTTAAAAATAAAACCCACTACACCTCCAACAACATCTAACCTGACTGAGAACATTAAGACTCTATGGGATGCTTATAAATACAAACTCCCAAACCTTAGAAAAGTAAGGTTTGCTTGGAAAGGTAAAAACACTGGCATGAACACCTCTCAGAGGCTTGTTTCAGTGGCCAGCGGAGCAGATTTTTCCTAACCAGTGATCTAGTCACGCTCGCCTGTGATTGCAGGGGACTGAACTCAGTGACCCACTGCTGCGCTGTTTCTCCAAGACTCCTTTGAACACATGCCCCATCCTCCTCCTCCTCGTGTTCTACAGAGAGGAAGGCCTAGGTACAAGATGTTCTTCCAACATCAGTGATATGACCCAGTGACGGGAAACTACTTTTCATTAAACCTATAAATGCTAGCAAAGGATTTAATGGCTCCAGCTGCTTTCTTTTGCTTTCTTATACTATGAACCTGTTCATTGTTTTTAAAGGCAGTCAGAAGAACAGCTGCCAGACAAAACAGCCGGTCAGTCATTCCTAACCTGCCTCACGTTACTTTTTCCTAAAGAGAGGATTTAATTAATACTTAAAAAAAAAAAAAAACAACCACATGGTCCTAGAATTTCTTTCATTTCAGATCAAATTTTGGATGCCTTGAAGTTGGATATTTAAATCGTAGTACTAAAAAGTCAGTGACTGTATTTGAAAATTGCATTTGAATACCAAGTCCATACTCATTCTTGAGGTGGTGTCATCAGACTTCAACACATTTAAATTTCCAGGCTCATTTACCTTCATGGCAGCTTTCAATTCAGAGGCATCATACTGGGCTGGTGTCTTCAGCAAGCCCAATATCACCGCCTCCAAATGACCCGACAGAGCAGACTTGAGTGCTGCTGAAAGTTCCTGTAAAAAAGAAGGGAGGATGGAAGAAATAATTAAAGCTCCCTTCTGATCTCCAGAGAATTTAGCCTGTAGTGCTTTAAATCTCCAAGCCTGCAACAGTCATTTTTGCACAATTGACATGGAAACAGAACATAAAGAGCTTTTCTTTTGTGAAAGCCTAAGAAAGAAATTAGGGCAAAGGAAATTTTTCTCATCCTTTGAAAAATAAGAAAAATCCACAGGTGGCTGACAAAGTGCTGCGAAGCACGGTGCAAACACATCCAGGTGACTCTGCACAACTGAGCTCTGGTCTTGAAGCACTGACACTGTGTTGGAGCTAATAAGCACTGATGGATCTGAGTTTGACTCCCTGTGGTCGGTGCCTCTCCATCTTTCTTCATAGTGTTCCCAGCAGCATTATATTATTTGGGTTTTTCCTATTTATCTCAGCCCTATATTAGCTTAGGCCCTGAAAAATTGACTGCACAGTTATTCCATTGTACTGGCCTAGTTTCCAAACAGCTGGCCAAGGGGAAAAGATGGCCCCTGAGTGCAGGAAAATCATCCCCGTCTTAAGGAAATCATCAGAACTCCGTAGCCAAAATCTCTATTGTTAATTGTGTCTGTCAGTGCTAGAGGAAACAGAGTCAGATATTTTCACTTCACAGGATGCATGCAGATGCAAATGAAGTCTGGCATTTCCTCTTTTATGGGTTTCTGTTACAACTTGAATAATGCTAATATCAGCTGCATTGTAGTGTAGCTACAAATTTCAAATCCCTGGAATCAAGTCTGGGATCCAAACAGATCAACGTTACCTAAAGCTGGAGTTAAACGTGTAGCATTCAGAAGAGAGTTGCTGCATTTGATTTGCTGGTTTCTACACAAACAAGTTTGGGTTAGGGGTAGGAGGTGTGGACAAAGAGAGATGGAAAAGAAAATGATCTCAGCAAAGTTGTTTATATCAGAGAGATAAAGAGCCAAGGCACTTAGTGTGTTTCCAGAATCACCAGTTAATCCAGGGCACTAATATATGCTTATACCATACGCACTTCATAGATTGAGCAAGAGAGTGAACAGAGGTTTTGGAAGTCTAACTGCTTTAGTCCAAGAAATATTTTAGTACACTAACCCAATTTTAGATGCAACGTCCCATCATTTCTTTGCATGAAAACAGGTTCTTTAGACATCAGCTAAAATAGTGACGATACTGCACACCTCTATGATCAATCGTAGGGCAATGCCATCAATTCCAATTAGCTGAGTGAAGTCTTTGTAATCTTTGCACTTTGATGTAAAGGTTGAAGGAAATACAAATCAATTCAACAAGATTTACCAAAGTAACTGCAGCAGAACACCCCAAACCAAACCAAGCACCTGCCCTCCTATTAGCAGGCTTCTGGAGAAATGAGCTCTTCCCCCTTTACACAGGGAAGCAGGGGCTCCACACTGCTATTCTCTGCCATGACTAGGAGTACGCTAACAGAGAAGCAGGAAGCAGATAACGGACATGCACATTTTCTCTTTGCTATTTATAAATTCATGATTGTATGAGGTGTTCCAAATGTGCATCTGGATATTAGCATTTCATTTCAAAGTAACTGCAAGTGGTGGACAGCAGCAGTTAGAATCGACCAGACAGGTGCAGAGTTTTGCACAAACAAATCCCCAGTAATCACCAATAGCTCCATTAACGCTGGTGAAGGTGAAGTATTTCATAGACTTTTGGGTAGAAATACTGCTCCTCAGAATTAGCATTAGTTCCCCTTAGAGCTCAACTCACAGGAACAAAAACGGAGGTAGGTCTGAGACATTTTTTTCATTATAACGATCTGCTGAGAAATCCTGCAATAAGGCACAACATGAGCGATAAATCACAACCGCCTAAGGAGGATCTGTAACTGCACAGCATATTTCCAAAGAAATCCATGAGATACGTTCTCTACAAGATGCATCTATATCACTGGAAAAGAGATGTGTTTTCATATTCCATTTTTTCATCTCCTGCTATTCACTTGTTTGTTTCTCTGAGTGGTTTCTACTACAAATTTCCATTGTTTCTATACCCTTTACCCTTTGGCACTTATTGTACTTGATAAATTCAGTTTGCTCCTGGGTTGCAGCAGCAGCAAGGAAAGAAGGTAAGTGAAGAGATAAACATTTAAATGAAAGAAGTTGCGGATTTTCTTGACTGTGCATGTTTGTGCTCATGCAAAACATTTAACAGAGCTTCAAGTGACACATTTTACTATTAGGGTCCAGGTTATATTCACAGTTCTCATGGTGCCCACAGACAGTGACCGCTGGGATGCAGGCCTGTGTGCGCACACACACACATGCATCCAACTTGCACAGGTTTTTGCGTGTGCCTGTATCAGCCATGCATAAAAGCTGGTGAATTTCCAAAATTTAACTCTAGTTTTACATTTGGTTGCGGATGAGCATTCTGGGCTGCTATTGGAGGATTACCATTTGGGGTCTGGCAAACCTGAAAGAGAGACATTCGTCATAATCCTGACTGGACTCTACGTAAGCTTCTCTTCCTCTGCGTGGGCATAAAACTTCAGTTACTGTAAGAGTCTCAAAACCTCAAAAGCCAAGAAAACATCTCTTCACTTCCAGTTAGCAAGACTCATTACACAGACTGCTGTACCCGTTTCACAGATTTGTTTTCCTCAATAGATCAGTGCATAGGATATTTCGGACAGGAAAACACCTCGTGATAGTTCAGTCGATAGCTTCACTTTGTTCCACACATGCAGCATTTGTAGCAAAACCTGACTGCAGTCTTTTCTTATTTAAGCTAACACCGCGCATAGAAAAGGAATACTTTCTTTAAGCTAAGTTAACACCACCACCACCACCACCCAAAGCCTTTCCTTTCCCTTTTAACTTTTCCTTCAAATTGAGGCATTTCCTGCCAACGGCTTGTCACAGGTTTAAGTAGAGATTTTTGCCACACTTCAGAAAACACACAACTGATACTGTTTAGCACATTTCAGCAGGTAACCTTGTGACTGGTTGATGATCTGCTACCCATCTTGATTTCTAGCGGTATTAGGAAACCCATCTCCAACAGATTTCAGTTCCAATTGTGCATACTGAACACGTTTGAAAATCCCACCACTCCTAAACTGCGACAGCAGAGACAATGTAAATGGATCTTTACTGCCAGTGAAAAGATAAATTAAATATTATCTCTGGTTTATGCCTAATTACTTGTGAAATAAGTAAGCCCTGAAAAAACCTAACTATACACAGAAAAAATATTCAATACTTCATATTCCTCTATATTTTTGGTACCTTTTTGGTTCTTCTCTGGTAAGCAAAAGCAATATCCTGCCTCTGTTCATTGCTGCGGTTTGTCAGGATATTGATGATGGTGACCTCATCCACACCTACAAAGACAAAAGACAGAGTCAAAGAAACTTTCTTGTTTGTATTAATATGTTCTCCTACACTCCAAACACAGCATATCTGCTATCTGGAGCAGGGCTCAACAGCTCTCTCTAGTGCAGAGTCTGTTCAGTCCTGGCCTTGCAGAAAGTGCAACCAATTACAACCCAAATTTTTGATGTGATGCAAATCTTGCTGTGCATACTCATGCATTCACCTGAGCTAAGGCCAGTCCATGACCAGCTTTGCTACTTCTGTGCTCCGTTTCATATGTGCATCCGTATGCATGTGTGTCAGTCACGCAGGGTTCTGCAAAGAAAGTTGTTCAACTTTAGAACTGACGAACTTGAACTTATTACAGCCTGCCCTGTAATTTCAGCAGAGTGATTTCAATTAAGGCTTCTCAGTAAAGCTGTTATATTTTTCTAATTTGCCTCTAGGCACTCAACTAACACGCCAAACAAAAATGGGAAGAAAAAAACCACTATATTACTTTCTCTCAGCAGCCCAGAGGCACAGAAGATAGAAGGTTTTCTTGATACGGGCAGGAACTATGTACGCGCTCCGTTTTTTGGAAATGACCATTAGGAGCTCCATGCTGAGTTTTAACTAAGCTGCCTAGACAATTTGGATGCTCTAACTCCCTTCCTTTTTTTAATAGTTGAATCAGTAAAGGCTTAGGTTTAAATGATGTTTTCCAAATCTGTTCACTTAAATGCAATTCCTGACTGAACGCAAGGAGATCATTTGGTTTTATTACAGGTTAAAAGCCACGGCACTCATCCAGGGTCAGGTTCTCTGGCTCTCCATAGCACCCAGTGCATTCCACAGCTGTAGATCCTACAGGGCAGCTACTCATGCTGCCACCAATGCCAGTCAATACTTACAGAGGAAAAGCTTTTATGTTATATAGAATATTTCTTAGATATCTTAGATACCAGCTACTCGCTACTCAAAGTTCTTTCCAGTGCTCTGCCACTGTCCCTGCCTGTTACTGCCAATCTGCGCTTCAGATTCGCTCTTTTTTTCCTACTTAACTTGCTGCTTTCAACTTGCTTTCTGCTTCCTCTGATCACAGTTCTCATTTGCTGCTTGGTCTTGGGAATTTGAAGTATATTCAAAGTACGTATTCAAAATATATCCCAGAGCCTTGCTGTTTCCTGGTCTGACTGAAGGCTTTTGAGCATCTTGATACGAACCCAGACCATCTGACCTATCTCTGTACCCCGTGGTAGGGCTCTAACCCATTGGGCATACAATTATCATGCCCTGCAGACATCCAGATCTCTCCAAGCATGCTCTGCAAAGAGAGCTACTCAAAGACATCCACATCCTCCTGTCTCCAAATCAACACCTTGCAGCTCTGCTGGACTTCAGTTCTGAACTTCCTTGCCTACGTTCTCCCGCTTACACCAAGTGTAAGAGAGATCTATTGGTCTGATCCTACAAACACCAGAAAGAAATGAGTGCCACATCTCCACACTTATCAAATACTTTCATGCATTTAGCTAATACCACTGACTAGTCCCATATGCAAATAAAATAGCTACCCTTTGATTAATCAACATCAACAGAAAAAAAAGCCCTGTATTTATATTCCCTTAACTAACTTCTAAAACTAACTCAACTATCCTCTTGCTGTGAGAGCTTACAAAAGCTGCCCTTGCAATAAGCCAGTCTCTATTAGTCAAAGGAAAACATTTAGAAATATAAGACCCCGCCACAAGCCAAATCAAAGGAATTGTTAGCAACCAGGATACAAAGCAGCCAGCTAACAAAGACTTAGAGTGACAAATAAGAAACACAGTGCAGTCACATTTTGACGTTGCATGTACCTGAACAGAACTGAAGAGGTCCACCCAGGCACTCTCAAGCAGTATGGTAACTGTATGAAATTTCACAAGACCTGGTTGAGGACTCACTGCTTGCTCAAGGAAAATCTTATTTTGAATTTATAATTTTACACCTCCAATTTAATTTTCTTACTTCACCTAATACAGCAGACAGGAATGTTACTGTAACAAAAGTGAAAATATTTCCATCCCCTTCTCCAATTCTCCAGTGCTCACTTATGCTATATCACCGAATTCAGCCCCTAGGTAAAACGTTCCTTTGCATCTCACGTACTTTTAGTTAACCAGAACCACCTGGACTTGCCATTCACACAGAGATGGAGAATAACACTGCAGCTGGAAGTAACGTCCAGATAACAGATTCTTCCAAACAGAAGAATCAGCTCAGCGTGTAAATGGATAGACAGAGGAGACAGCTTGAAGAGCTCTCAAATCATTATGCTCCAATATCAAACTAACCTATAGCTGCGCCGTGTAATTGCTTGTTTTGAACTATTTGTCAACTGAGTGGCTGAAGCTTAGAAAAGGCAAAACTGTTTCTAAATATTACATGTCTAACACAGGGCATATTCTTCTGCAATGGTGTATACCTAGTTTTTTTTTTTTTGAACAGCGAGTTGCGGGCCAGGTTGTGAACCCAAATAGATGGCTCTAATCTAGAGGTCAGTTCAAGCCCAGGGTTTCTACTTGACTTTCTCCACTTACTACAGCAAGCGTTATGAATAGCTTCTTTCACGTTTATGCACTAGTGTAAATGTGAAATGTCACTAATGTAACCTGTGTGTTAGCATAAATGACGATTTTGCAATAGAAAACAAAGTAAAGAATGGATCAGCCGCTACTAGAAGGACTCAGACCCCTAACAGACTCTTCTTCTATTTGTTTTGCCTTATTACCCAAAGCAGCCTCACAGCAGCTTGGACACAAAGGACTTTAATCAGATATTCTAATACAAATCATACCAGTGAGAATATTGCAAAAGACCTTGTAGCCCTTAGCTACAGATTCTAAAACAATGAGTCAAATCCAAAACATTCAGATTCCTTTCTCCCTCTTGACTAGGTTTTTCATAAGGGGCACAAACAAAAATCTGATTCTGATCTGGAGACACCATATACTGGACCCAATAGTCTCGTGTTCTTAGCTCATACAGAGGCAGACCTACATCCGTGCTCTTATTCACGCAGGCTTGGCCTGCAAAAGTCTAGAGGCCCTGGAAAGCATCATGTGTCTTAGTTATAAAGCTTGAAAATATGCTGACTGTAAATTTTAGCCATAATCTACTGATAGCATGTTTTAAAGTGTTGCCATTTTACAGAAAGCAAACTTCCCCAGCCCAGAAACGGCCACACACACAGAGGCACTCATACATTGCGCCTTTCAGCCTTTGCAGGGCCACAGCATAAACCAATCTTTCAAAGTTTTTATTAAATTCTAGATTTAAAGCATTCTCGACATTCAAAACTGGCAAATGACCAGTTTTAAAGTTCAACTTTTAAAACAATTGAGATAGATTAGGAGCCCACAAATGACTGTGTCCAAGCTTCTTACTCATGCTTTGTGGATGGAAATTGCTCATTGCTCTGGCATTTTGTGGAAATGCAGTGCTTGTACTTCACACTTGGGAATCCTGCAGCCCTGAACAGGATGCTGACTCACAGCTGCTGAAGTGGGGTGGAGCAGAAGAGCTGCTCCCACATTTTTCTTTGCTGTTCACTAAAAAGCCTGAAAATTTCAAGGTAATGAAATGAAAGTGTATTTCCCAATTTATTCTGGCTGGATAGATTTCAGTAGTGTACTTTTATCATTGGGTAACAGAAAAACTGACATTGTTACTCATGGTGTCATACTATGTTGTTTTTTTATTAAGCAAGAAAATTCCTTGCAGAAAGAAATGTGTTCAGGAAGGGGGGGGGGGGAAAGAAAGCATGTCTTCAGAAAGAACTCCTTTTGAATAATCACAGAATCACAGAATGGTTGAGGTTGGAAGGGACCTCTGGAGATCATCT